TGAAATTCCTGCTCTAGAGTTCCCCACTGGGTCATGCTGAAGCTGGTCTCCAGCTGGGAGCACATCTTTACTTTATCCCCCTTGCCCTGTGCTACGTCCCTCATTCCCCTTCTCCTGACGCAATACGTCCTTGCACCAGAATCCCTGTCTCAGGCTCTGCTTTCAGGGAACCTCTATTCCATACATTTATTAGAGGTCCTTTATGATCACCAGAGGTATGCATCTCTGGGGAAGCTAAGAATGAGATGCAGAGCAGCTTGACAGGACCCTAGACCAAATGTGGACATAGAGCCCAACTCAATTTACAATATTCCTGGGCCAATGCCTTATATCTGCTCTCTTGCTGATACCAACAGACCACAGTCTATCCAATCTGAAATAAAGATTTATTTATTCATACTCTAAGGTAATTCCTCTCTTACTACAGATTATGAATTATTATACTTATTAAGAGAATTAGAAGTACAGCATTTATCATTAATCAATACATTTGTTACAATTCTTAAAAATGTGGCTGGACAATTCTAACTTATTTTGTAATAACTATTCTTACTCTGATCATATAAATCTCACATTTTCAATCAGTTATTGGGTTCTTTTCCCTCCATCAACTATAAACTCTGCTGTTATGATTGGGTCCCTGATCAGGAGGCTCTGGTTAATCCAACAGTGTTATAAAACAGATGAGATTTCCAGTTTGCAATTAATAAAAAATATAATCAAAGACATAAAGGCAAAGCAGAAGCTAATTTAATCTTTCTGTTACGATTCCAAAGTTGTATTGGGGGCATCATTATAAACCTTAATTACAGCCCTAGAGAAATCTGGGGAGATGGGTGAGCGGCATTCAGGCTGAAAGAATGTCAGACAGTCCAGATTTTACTGCTTGAATTTACAAAGAGGCAGCTTTATAACATCAGGTCCCACATTCATGGTTTTCCCCCCAGGAGGCTGATCCTGTCATAGGCTCTTGTAGAGCCCCTATAGTTAATCCCAGTTGATTAATCCATTCTCCCAACCTATAATTTAAAAAAACAAGACTTTCACTTTCATTGGATTATCCTCTCCAAAAACTTCTACCTAAATAAGAGCCCAATCATACTTTAAATCCTATTTCTGAATATATCTGTATTTATTTCTTTTGGAATACCCTGTTATAATTTCCACTTATAGTTTATGCTTTATTTTTGTTCTAGACTATACTTCATTGCTTAACAAAATACACTGATAATTACCCTTCTATTCCATCAAATTATTGGAGGGTCTTTTAAGGAGTTGTTTATGATTTGGTACCTACACATTTTATTATTTTTTTTAATAAGGAACTATCATTAAATTAAAAATTCCTACAGATCTGAGAACTGTTGGCTGTTTCTAAAAAGCCTCTTTATGCTGGTCAAATAAATTACAATATTTATAGATCTTTGCAGTGTTTCAGTACATGTGCAAGATTTTCATTAGGAATGGTAAAGAAAGCCATATTTACTTGCTTTCTGCATCCATATACTGAAGAGAAGAAGAGAGAGAATTTTTTTTCCTTCCAAACTTGTCAATAATAGTGAATAAATGAAGGCTTGTTAAGATAGGCTGAATAAGTCTAAATGACCCCATTTGTACAAATTTTAGTATATGACTTCAGGCTTCAAGGTAGTCTTGACGTCACAATATGGTTGCTGCAACACCAGCCATTACATCTGTGTTTCAGGCAAGAATAGTGCTTGAGTTAGCCTGCTCACATGTGAGGACACACAAGTAAGTTTTCCCAGAAGTCCCATACAACACCCTCCATCCACATGGCCAATACTTAGTAACCCCTATCTGCAAGGAAGGTTGTGAAATAAAACTTTCCACTGGGCACAAAGTCAGATTTCTATTACTAAGGAAGAAGTGGAGAAAGGGAATGGGATAGGCGTCAGCATTATCTGCCTCACTTCCTCTGTCAATACATTTTTCCTCAGATGGACTGTGAGCTCACAGAAGGCTGAGATTACATCAATTTCTGTAATCCCAGAACCCAAGACAATACTGTATTTATTATGTTTTTATTATGTTTATTAATTAAGGAAGAAAATGGGACTCTCAGCTAGTTACAGATTAGGTGGAAGAAGATCCAAGGCAAGTATAACAGATGAGTAGGTGACATTAGCCGACTGCATGTATACGGTCACCCATTCATTTAATTGTTATGTCAGTGGATATTAACCGAGCTCCCAGTCTGAGCCAGGCCCTGTGTCAGGCATGGGGGAAACAGCGATAAACACAACACGGTCCCTGGCTTTAAGAAGGTTGTGGTGAAGGGGGGAGATTGGGGGAGGGTAGTGAGGGCACCATCAGGAAACAAGCAATTTCAGGGTCATGTGGTAAGAGACTGAGGAGTGGTCTGGACCACCGTTCGAGGTTAGGAAGCTGTAAGGAGTCTGGGTGAAACACAGAGTGGGGAAAGAAGTAGGGGGAAAGAAGGAGAAGACAGGTGGGGCTGGATAATAAGGAAACGTATATTCAGAAGTCCCTAATTTATTCCTGCCAACACACATACCTACTTGTTTGTGACAAGATGTTTTTGTCCCTTGGACTTCCTCATGAAAGGATTTCCTGACACTTGGCCCTTAATGGATCTGACCCACTGACAAGCTGCTTCTGGCCTAAACTGTAGTCACAACTGTGTTCCATGGGCCTTATCTGAGCATGACGCAACTGTCTTCCCAGCATCTCATCTTATGAGGCGGTGTTCCCTGGTGGACCCATGTGGGAAATGCTGGTCGAGATAAAATATTTCTCAAGCTTAGCAATATGATTCCACTCACACACACACACACAGAGTTCCAGAGAAAGAAATTTATCCCCAGGAACTGCAGGTGTGAACCTGGTTTCAACTGCATGGCTCACCAGAGGGATACAGGTTTAGTCGAACTAATGAGTCACCACTTCAGCAATCTCCCAGTCAAGTTAGTTATCCCAGTGACGAGCTGACCAGTAATGAAGACACTGTCATCTCTTCCTGCAAATTATTCAATGCAGTTCATAACATATGTGATTAGAAATGTGTCTATATCATACCTGTTCTCTCTGCCTAGCTTAGAAAGAGATGTCCCCCTAACCTTGAAGCAGAAGTCACAAAGAGAGAGAGATTGGGAGATGCTATGCTGTTGGCCTTGAAAACAGATGAGGCCACAAGCCAAGGAGTGCAGGTGGCACCTAGGAGCTGGAAAAGGCAAGGAAATGGATTCTCCCCCAGAGCCTCCAGAAGGAACACCGTCCACACCTTGATTTTAGGATTTCTGGCCTCTAGACGTGTAAGATAACACAGTCTTCGTTTTTTGTTTGTTTTTTTGCTTTGTTTTGGGGTTTTTTTTGCCACTGACTTGTTTATAACCAGCAGTAGTAACACATACAATGCATCTCCAGGTACTGTCCCCCCTTGTTCATTCTCACTGCTCTCCACAAACGTCTCTCCCCCTTGAGATTCTCCTCTTGAATGCATCTTCTCAGATTATTTCCTTGAAAATCAAATCAGATTATGTCACGGGGGCTTGAAGTGCACGGATACTCACTCATTCTAGTGAGGTTACTTTCAGGGACTATAATTAGAAACCAGAAATAAGCGTTGTTTACAAATCCTGCCAAGGATATTTGGTGCGATCTCAGGAAGGCTTAACAGGGATGTGATTATAGCTAAGAAAGCTCAAAACAAATTGTACCATATGCTGAAGAAAGAATGCATTAACCACAAAGGGCTGAGGTGGAGAAGAGATTTTTCTGGGTTTATACAGGCTGGACAGAGGTAAATTCACTGACTCTGGCAGCCACCAGGAAGGCACACTCTGGTTTGGATGTGGGGATACCTCACCCAGTACCTGGATCTTCGTAAGTGCTTCTAACTAAAAAGCAGACACAGTTTTTCATTGTATATTTCATCCTGATTTAAATGCTGGTCACATGAAAGCTGGTTGTCATGAGTCAGTCAACTTGCTCACCCCTAGATGCTTGATAAAATGGACGGCTGGACCCTCCTGGTGACCAACAGAAACTAGATTAAGGTTCTTCTATTTGGTAAGAGCCTGAGTCCTGGGTTAACAATAGCCACCCTCCTGCCTGTTATCACTCACCCCTATTTCAAAACCTCCATAAAAGAGGGATGACCATCACAGCAAAAAAAGGGGTGTGAAGATCTTAGAAGGAAAGAGAGGTGAGCACTGGCAGACGCCACAGAGAGCACAAGACAGGGACTGAATTTTTCCACTCAATTTGGCAATGAGGTGGCAACTGATGTGCAGTGGAGTGAGAGACTGACCAGGGAATGAGAGCTTAGGAAATGTTAACTTCAGGGCTGGAAAACTCCTCTGAGGATCCAGGTCCTGTAGTGTCATCTTTAAAAAATTCCCCTCGGGTTTTACAGTTGAATCACAGAGAACCCTTCTTGTCCCCAAATCCTCCAAATGTTCATGAGCCACATCTGAGTCTTACCATCTCTCTCTCCTCAGCTCACCTCTGAGATAGAGGAACTAATGAGCTGTGTAATAATGAAACGTCAAAAACCAAGAGGAATAACCAAAGGCCTACAAATCCGAACTCCAAACAACACAAATCACGCCCTGAGTAGGACGACCGGTAACAAGTTGTGCTTCAAATTTAACATCCCTGTTCTGATGATAAAAAAAAAATGAGTGTCTGGAGAATCCACAGGGACATTTTATAATTGGAATGCTTCCTGGTATCCCATCCGTAATCCTCACCCCATCTCCCTCCAAATTTATAGCTGTTCCTGAGTTGTGGGCAAGTGTGAGCACAAGTCTGGACCAAAGACTGGATTCTGTCCAGTGGCTAGAGTAATTGTATGCCGTAAAAAAGAGGTGGAATAGTGAAAACCACGGGCACATCTGCGTTTCCATATGAAAGCGCTGCTTTCCCTCCTTGACCGTTTGCTATATTTAAAGGTAGGTGGGGTGGGGGGAGCAGTTTTCTGAATCTGAGCCCAGCTCTTTCTAAACTTGGTTACTCACGTCTGATTCATTCGCTGTGTTTTTCGTCTCCTGTCTCTGTCACTGCCTGCTGCTGAGAAGGGGGTCGCTGAATCACTGCCACTCCAGATGAAAAGCAATTCAAACCCAGTCCTGAGGGGGATGGAAG